CGGCCGTCGCGACGAGCGCGAGCCGCGCGAGCCGCTCGCGCCGCGACCGCTCGGCGAAGTCGAAGGTCGCCCAGAGGGGGCTCCCGACGCAGGCGAGGAAGGGCGTGCTCAGCGCGAACCAGGGGTAGTCGACCCACGCCCAGTTGCCCCGGTTCGCCTCGACGACGGTCGTCACGCTGTCGTAGAAGCAGCGCGCGAACGCGACGTCGTCGACGGCGAAGGGGCCGCTCGACGCCATCTCCTCCGCGAACTCGAAGCACACGAGCGCCTGCGTCTCCTCGTAGAACTGGCGCGAGGGGCCGCCGTGGGACGCGTCGGAGTCGTCGCCGTCGGACGCCTCGGACGCCTCCGAGGCGGCGGACGCGTCGGACGCTTCCGAGGCGGCGGACGCGTCGGAGACTTCGGAGCCTTCCATCGACGACCACGACCGCGTGCGAGCGCCCAACGTCGTCCGATCGGAGTCGTCGGACGGCGCTCCGGGCGCGCGGAGCGAAAACGGGGGAAAAGGCCGGACATCGGCGGAATATCCGACGTCGGCGGGAGATTCGGCCTCGGAGTCGTCCGACGACGAGCCGGAGCCGTCGACGAGGGACCCCGCGCCTTCCGACGCCGTCTCCCAGGCCGACGACGACGACGACGCGCTCACGAGGTCCGGGGTCGAGTCGTCGTCGTCGGACGCGAGGCCCTCGAAGCGATTGGCGATCTGACCCTCGCTCGAATCATCGCTGTGCTGCGACGACATCGCAGGCGCGACAAATTTGACTGCCGGCGGCGAGCCCTCCACAATTGCACAATAGATCTATTTCTCAGCTCACCCGATGGCGATCGCCACAGTCGCCGCCCACAGGCTACCCAGGCGTCTACCCACGGTCCGGTGAGCCTCCAAGACCTCAGGGACTTCGATTCCCGGGCCGACCACTTTGTAGAAAAAAGCATAAATAAAGGTCACAGCTCGCCGCGCGGCGAAGCGCGCCACTCGTAGGTCGCGGCGACGGGGTAGTGGTCCGACGCGAAGGGCCCGCCCGCCGCGCGGCGCCGCTTGTCGTCGGTGATGACGCGCGCCCGCGCCACGGCGCCGTCCTC